ATATATAAATTATTCATTATTTGATATATAAATTTTCTTTATACATAGGGTAGCATTTTTATTTTCCTTTTTTAATATAAGTTTTATTAATTATTAATCTAATAATTAAATATTTTTACCTTATACTTCTATTATTATTTTTTTCATCTTCCTCAGTTATTTTTAATTCTTATTTAATTGAATTTATAATCCTTAAAAATTGAGGTAAAAACAACTATTATTTTAATAAAAAATTAAATCATAATTATTTTTAATATGTAAGATTTATATAAAGTATTATAAAATAAGGGGAAATATTTAACAATTTTTTTTTACATAAGTCTTTACTAGCTCTCTCTTCTATAATTGCTTAACTTACAAAATTTTATTTTACGTTCTTTTTTCTTATCCCTTCTATCATTTCCAATTTCTTGTCATTTTTTCTTCATTCCTATTCTATTTCTTAATTTGCATTACAAACTATTTTAATATGTTAATATAAATACTCAAATCAAAATTATAAAAAGAAAGTGATTTGAATGAGATTTTAGTATAATTGAATACATATTTGCAAATATATGTGGCAATAATATTGGATATATATACAATTTATAGGGAATGTGAAGTAGAATTTATTTTTAAAATGACTAAAAAATTAATAATAGTATAATACAAATAAAGTAAGAAACATAATAACTTGCAAAAAAAAAAAAAAATTCATATGACTTGATCTTCATCAAATTCATACATTTCTTGTTCAGTTTAGTGTATAAATCAACACTTACTGCTTTAATCAACTCCAATCCCGTGAGTAAAGTTCTCTCCTTAACAAAAAAATAAAATGAAATAAAATAATCAATAGAGAAAAGAATGCATAAATTTTAAACAAATAAAATTACGAAATTCTTTAAAAAAAACAACATCATATATTTTGTAAAAAATTCATAAAAAAGAATAATAAGACTAATATGATAAGTAATTCATACAACAATATACATATTTTGAATAAAGAGGAAAAAAGACACATAAAATAAATATATAATATTATATTTAGTTGCAATATGAAATAGGAAATAAAAAGAAAAATAATATTTAGAACTCTTCATGTTTGCAAAAAGAAATTAAAGATATGAAGATGAGAATAAAGTATAATATTGATGCAAAGAAAAGTGAATGTTTATAGATAGATGGGTAAGAAGATGGAAGGTATGAAGAAAGATTACTTAATATTTAATTCAATCTTTTATTTTTTCATTTTCAAGAATTTAAATGGTATTGCCTCTTCATCTCCCAATCCTTGATCATTTTTATTATCCATCCCCATGTCTTTTTCTACATTTAAGCCTTAATTTTCTATTCCCAAACCTTTATATTCTCTACTTTTTAAGTTTTAATCACTACTAATTAACACACTATGAAAAAAAAAAAAAAGGGAAATGGTCTTACCTCTTCATCTATAAAAGCATAAATCGATTTTTTCAATATTAATAATTAATAATTAACATATTATTCATCTAAATTATTTTTTGTTACAATTGAAAATTTTATTAACCTTAATTTGTTATTTGTATTATATAATTATTATATAATAAATAATAAATAAATATATATTATATATTATTTTATATATATTAATACTACATACCCTATTTAACATTATATATCTAGATAACATATATAGATAGATTATATTTTATATTATATTATATTTAAATTTTATATAAAAATTTATATAAAATTAATTATAAAAATTATAATTAACAAAATTTAATTTATTTCCTTCTGTACAAGTTTAAAAATATCTAAGTATAATTTTTATTTTAAAGATACCTTGAAAATAAATGAGGCATTGAATCTTTCTATCCCCAAATCCAAAGGACCTCCTTTTTCTCGTTTTAAGGAATATTTTTTTAATTTTTTTAGCAAAATGATTTTAGAATAATTTTTTGTATTGCTTTTTGATACAATATAAAATGTTACTTAAATAATTAATTTTTTTAATAAGATCAATAATATTTAATAAATTTATTTATTTAATAACACATAAAAATTATATCAAAATATGATATAAGAAAATTATTTTCTTCTTCCTAAAACCATAGACGGGTACAGTCGAAAGCTCCCGCCCAAATTTTGAGAGATTTCATAAGACCGATAACGACGGGATCTCACATGTGGGAGGCAGAAAACCTAGAAAGTAAACCTATAACGACGGGATTTTTATTTAGTGATAGAAGCTCAAAAATTTTCAAGGTATTAACAACGGGACTAAAAACCATTATTATTTCACTATATTTAATACCAACTTTAACAACGGGATGACTAAGTTTTGGTGGTTAAAAGACAGTTTTATGCATTCGATGGTAACATTGAAAAGACAAAAATTAAAGTTAAAAAAATGCATTTAATTAATGATGACGAAAAATAATAAAAATTTAAATTTAAATAAAAAATCTAGAAAATGAAAACATAAAAAATAAAAAAATATCCATATTTTTATTTTAACTAAGGTTTAAATCTAAAAATTCCACTCCACTACTCCAAAGAAGATGATTGTGGTGTTTTATTAGCTGAGTGAAATGTCACAAAAATTTTTTACACTTATGAAATTCTTCACAGATGTGAAATTAAAAACTTAATTGAGAAATCCAATAGTCACTAAAGTGGAAAAAGATGGAGAAAGCTAAGTGATAGAAAATTTGAGTTTTTGCTTCTTACATGGATCAACTCTGAATGACAATAGGATTAAATCTTTTCTTAACTAATTTCAAACTGTGAGATATTTATTTTTAATTAATATGTAATGGTAGGTGACGAATTACGATGTGCATGAATTATTGTTCTTTATTTTATTATATACATCTGAGGTTAAAAATATTAATTTAGAATAATTATTTAAAATTACTATTATTAAAATTAATAACTACCATAAATAGTCAACATAAATGAACTACGTGTTGTGTAGATTTGGCACCTATATTAGCATACTAAATTTAACATTTTTTATTTTAAAAAAAGAAGTAAAAAATGAAGATGCTATTATATATGCAATGGTTAAATTAACTCGTTGAACTTCTTTATTAATCAAAAGAATCCAGTGAACAATAAGAATTTAATTAAGAATCATGGACATTAGTGGATTATTCTTTGAAAAGAAAGTAAACTTTATCGTGTGAATAATTGTTTATAAATAAATCTAATGGAGTAAGTGATATATGCTGCTTCACCTCTCACCAGTGAATTCGCCCCAACCATTGACCGAAGCAATCAAGATGGTATATATAATGCAGGTAGATTTGAAATTAAGTGTTTTTATTTTTATTTTTAATTTGTTTGGACAGATTTTCAATGTCTCTAGGTCGTAGAAATCATGTTTTAATCGTAGTTTTTGTCGTGTGGTGAAGAAATTGTTTTTTAGTTTTGTCTACCACTAATCGGCTATTTAGTAGTAGTTTAATTGAATTATGATTAAGATAATCTCATCGACTCCGATGTCCTAATTAAAAACTGAGCAAAGCTAGGGACACTCGCCATTCGCACTCTCCAATCAACACTTCCATTTTCATTGAGCCACGTTATGTTGGTTTCTGGTGAGGTAATCATTTCACGCGGAAGCAAGCTTACGTGGCCCAATAAAAACCATGTGTCGGCGGGAGAGTGCAGCAGGCGAGTGCCCCTAGCACTGCTCTTAAAAAATAAGTTTATGTGCTTATTAGGATCTTTACAAATTCATCTTCATCGATAAAAACAAAAATATGGTCAAAATTACCTTGTATCTACAATACCGTACAGTGTTTAGAATGCAGCTATTAGAGATTAGAGCAATGCCATTGTTTGGATGTCCCAACACTCAAATAGGAGTTAACCTGAAGAATTGGATTCATGGGCATGTTAATTTCATTTCATAATTTAGATTCAGATTTTAAATTTTGAGGTTAGATTTATAAGAAATTTTTTTAAAGTAGTAGGCTAATGTAGAGGTGCATTTTAAGATTATATATGAAGAGATTAATGACAAAAATATGTAGAAGTTAACTTAAGGTTATTGTTAAAAAATAAAATAATAAGTAAAATTAGAGTTCTAGTCTTTGTTTTAAAATCTTTATCGCGAAACATTAAAAAGAAAAACAAATAAGAATTTAGCCGAATTTGTATTTAATTAGAAATATCATATTTACAAGAAATTCTCAATAGAAAATGAGAATAGTAAATATGAGTTCCAAC